CTTTGAGTGTTGAATAAGACGTCAGAATACTATCAGAGATGTGAGAATCCACTGCTGTAATTATTTGTCCAATATTATACGAAATGTTTTAACCCAACTGGCAGTCAGTTGTGACATAACATGAGAAACATGCCATATCCAGACTATGAAAGGGTTAAAAGTTGCAGACACCACATTTCTTTGTATGACCAATACAGCAGAATAACTGATTTGTTTCAAGTATTTATTTTATGGATCATTTGTGGAATAATGACTGGCAGAATAAAATTGAAAATTCTTGGAGAAAAGCGAACCCATGTGCCATTTTATCCGTATAAAGTTCACAAGACCACTCTGGGGTTGAACACAGGCCTCCATGGTGAGGAAGTAGTAAGGAGGCACTTAGCTATTGTAACGTGGGACGGTATACGACCTTGATTGTCAACCCTGATTTATTCACGTCAAATTAAATCAGTTACAGAGGTCTGCACATACAGTCAACTCTCTACAACAACAACACACTTTGTGTCTCTGTTCTCTGCACACACACACACTCTGTCCTCCGAGTCTGTCTGGTCCCTCGAGTTTGGCGCTCTTCACACTCTTCGCTTACACATCGGGCCGTAGCACCCCACTGGACACACGCTGGCTCCTCGGCCGCCACGGTACATGTACCCATTGCCTGCTCACGCAGCCGACCTGTCCATACTCAGCGTCGGCCCGTAGCACCCCACTGGACACACACTGGCTCCTCAGCCGCCACGGTCCACATACCCAGTGCCTCACACGTAGCCGACCCGTCCTTTCTCAGCGCCACACCAGACCTCTCGTTAGCTCCACTCTCTCGGCTCTCACGGCACACTTCTCTTACGCCCGATTCACAGCTCTGTTCTTTCCACACTTCCTTTCCAACAACTCTACTCTCAACACACTCTCTTTCCAACCACCCTTCAACACTCTCCCTTTCCAACCAACAATGTCAATAAAAAGACAACTAAACTGTTTATTGACATTGTTATGCTGCTCTCACGGCAACACGTCACACTATGTTACTTGTGGCTGTGGGAGGTTTTTCTTATGTCATTAACAAGACTTGATCATTAATGTGTTAATTATTATTGCATAAAATGCTCTTAGGCTGCATGTTCATTTCATATTACATTTTGTCAAATACACCATATTTATTTGATGTAAATGTATTGTAAAAAGTCTTCTTGCATGCACATTCAGTAATATGTTGGATAAGGATGGATGGATGGTGTTATTCAGGGTGGTAGGTCATAAATTCAGGTACTTCTGACTCTGAGCTTCAAGATGTTAAAATGTCTTTGATGGCAAGATATATTATGGGTGATTGTCCTGAAGATGGAGGCGGCAAAGACCTCTGAAATGTCGGTAAACTTCTACCAGACTACTTGGCGCAACAACCGAGCAGACAGTCTTTTCAGATACCACAGTGAAAACCTCAAGTCCTACCAGTATGGGTTTAGGCTGAGAGTTCACAGTAGATCATCAATATATATGAGGAAAAGCAGAGGAACAAATGCCTAACCTTGATGAGCTCGATGTTTTATGATGCCCCAATTTGATGATGTTGCATATATATTTTGGTGCATTATGCCATGGTACTGAATATTATGCTCCTGAAAGGCTGAGAGATAACCACTATTCATTTGCCAAGTGAGATATATTGCAACGATAAAGCTGTTAGCAATTAATAATAATAATAATATGAAATAATAGTATAACAACAAATAGTTATGAATCTATATTTTCACACATGACTGTGTTTGTGGCCAGTATAACTTGAATTCTTTGCCATAGCAAGCCCAGTAAATAAAATGGAAATGACGTGGTCTTCATTTGGTTTCGAAAGTGTCTTGCACGTCAGATTTTGTCAAAATCGGCTGAGCTGAAAAGGATGACAAGGCAGATTTTGTGTGTTTAAAAGACCTTATGTGGGGGGGCAAGGGGGAGAAAGTATGCCAATAATGTAATAATTTTTGCCATACACAAACAGGAACAGAACAATCACAGATATATCACAGCTCTCGGGGAGGATATCACTACATTATCGTTACTTGTAGGTAGTACAATTTACCAGTCATGCCAAACTTGGTCTCATATTAGAATCCCAACTATGTCTGATAAAGCAGAGATACTTAAAATCAAACAATTTGCGTCGTGGTTTGCGATAAAAAATTCGAGTTCAATTTTTCTCAAAGACATGGGTATTTAAGGAATTTCTCTTGTACGATTTTGTTGGCTCTGGTAAACTAAAGTGACAAGAACGATCAACTCTATTCATGTTTAAGATTACTGTGACAAGCATGACCTACTCTGAAGTAATAGTAGTGACTTGTTTATCGTTTGGCGAGGTCTTCGATACACAATCCCGGTTAACTAAGCGTTCCCAATGTTGCAAATCAACGTTTGTAAGCACTGTGAGTTTCAGCCGTTTATGGCGGCTGACGTGGAATGTGAAGTGCTTAAGATTAGGTTTTGCTATTATAATATTAAAGTAGTATGTTGTATGTAATTCATATGACGTTAACACATTTTTTCAATTATGTGTCCGGACGCTGGAATGTATTCATTAATAGACAAAGATTAAATGGCGTGAAGAGATTATTTGTTGATATTGTAAACATTACGCTATGCCACATTCAATTTTTAATTTACGTTAAGGGCAATGCACTGTGGGTAGGAATTGAGCTTGGCGCATGCGCAGTTCAGTTTACAGTTAGATCTCGTCAGAAAATGGCGTCGGCTAAGTTTTTGGAGGAAGCTCTCAGTACAGACGTCGATGAATCAGCAGTCAATGCAATAGTGGGATCGCTGGAGACACAGTTAGTTACCACGACACCTGCAGTTTCCAGCCAGCAAGGACCATCAGCTACAGTCAATCAAAATCATATGAACAGTGCAATAGCTAATGGGGGCACTGTCTCTACACAGAAACATGGTGTGACGAACGGTGGATCAGGATCTATGAATATTCTTTTAAACTCAGATACAAACAAAACCAATACTACAAGCACACTTCAGAGTGGTAATGTTGTACATTCAAATGTTGTGAATACAGTTGTAGCGTCGTTGCATGGTGGAGTTCCTGCTAGTGGATATATAAATCAAGTAACTTCAAGTGCAAGCCAATCAAATATCACAAATCTAACCAAGTCACATGAAGCTGTCAAAATAGTTTATCCCTCAGGCAGTCAGACTTTGACTACTACTGGTGGAGTAAATATAAACAGTAGAGTTGCCTTTCCAACTGGAGCACTCCCAAATGGCAATTTGGGCCTCGCTCCACTGTCTTCACATACTGTTTTAAATGCAGTAACCTCGAGTGTTCAAAGTGTAGTTTCTCAAACCCATTCCCAAGCTGGAAGTAATGTAACTAAACAGATTGGTGGTGTTATTGGTATTGAACATGGGAAACCAACTGGAACAGCTTTAGTAATAAAAACTTCAGTTGGTAATCCAAATGTTACCCAAGGGGCTCCTCTAGGTGCTGGTGTAGTGTCTGTTCCAATGACTGTAAATACCACAATGACCCTGACAGGAACACATGTGAACACAGCTGTTGGTACGACGACAACATCAGGAATGTCGGGAGTTGTAACATTAGCAAAACCCATTACGCATACTGTTGGGGCTTCTCAAACAATAGTAGGGAACCCCTCTACAACAATACTGCCAGCCAATGTGCAGATTGTTAATGTGAATGCTGTCAGACCAGCTACGCCTGGTCAACCAGGACAGAAGGGACTGCCTCCCAGAGTTGTAATTGGGGCTCCACATATGGTTGGTGCACGTCCTGGACAACCAGGAGTAAGTTTGCTTTGTGTCTTCTTGATTATTTGTGAGTTTTTAGTAAGTTTAAATGCGTTTTATCAGTAAAATTGTTGCTTGTGTGTCTGTAGGGTATGAATATTATAGTGATATAATAGTTAATATGTCACTGCAGCCATTTTTAGAAACTTTTGGAGTTTTATGGTTTCAGTCATCACTCTGTTTTTATAAAACATTAATCATTTTAAGAGTGGTAAATTATGCTGTTTTTCATTTCAAAGTTTATGACATAAGTTTACAGCTCTGTTTTAATATTTTATTTGTTTTTGTCTTATGTTGACATGGGTTTATACTACGAAGTATGTTAAGAAAATATTTTTGTAGTCAGTGTTGAAGAACCACATAATAGAAACAGTAACCTTGACACCATTTGTGTATGATCCTGTAGGATCAAAGTTTGAAGAACATTCACATAAAATATTATCCAATAATGATTTCTTAAATTGGATTATTTTACTATAAATCGTAATAGGTTAGGCCTGCATAAGTTTTTATATAAATTTTGGAGCCACCTCCAAAACTCGTAGCCAGAAGATATATGTGCATATTAGAAATTGAAATAACATTCACGTAAATTTATTTGCCAATACTGTTGTTGCCAACTATGATGGAATCGGATGTACATGGCACAAATTTTAAAATTTTACTTAATAGATGTGACGTGCTGCTTCTGGAGCAGTGATAATGTGACTGGCTTGGTAGTGAAGCGTTATTTGTTTACTCGGCATTGTTGTGGAACACAACAATGCTGAGTAAACAAATATCTGTTGAAATTGTTGATGACGTCATTTCTTGAAGACAACGAGGAATCACAAATTTCTATAGTAGATAATATAATCAATAGAATAATATGCAGAAAATTTTAGGTACTATCATGAAATCATGAACACTTTAGTCACTGTGGTACCCTGATGCCTGGGCTTTATTCTGGCCTGATGATATAGGCCACATTTAGTGGTCAGTTGCTTTTAGTAACATAGAAATACTTATGGCAACATTATACTACTATGTGAAGTCTATATCACTTGGTAACATTAAAATGACAGTTTAGTAAAATTATACAAAAAGGAAAATATTTGTGTTTAAAGTGTTTAACACTTCAACACTATTTGACATCTGTAGCTTGCCTAGTGAAGCTGTAACTTCCATGTAGTCTGTTATAGCCATATTTTTTTTAAGTGTCGGTTATTTTGTAAGAGAAAATAACTAAAAATATTTAATTTTAAAACTTTGGAGTATTATATCAGTAGTACTTAATCTTTGAAGTTTGACTGTAATTCATTGCATTACTTTGCAGCCATAGGCTTCAGTCCTATGGGGATTATGATAACTATATATTGAAACAAGTTGTTAATGGTTTTGTTCATTTCTGAGAGGAATTTTACTGTGTAGTATTTATGGTTCAGAATGTGCTGTTTTTACAAGGATATTTGTGATTGTAACACATTGAGCTCTCATTTTAGTAGTTGATCTTGACTACAGGCATTGTTAAACAGAAATCTGATCTATATAGGAAAGAATAGCATTTCCATGTGAATGCCTTTACTGTTGTGAATGTACTTAGGACAGCCATCCCAACTGTAAAATAACACACAGTTACTCATTCAGAACTGTGGAAAGTGATCAGCTCTTCTGTCTGATGAGGAATTAGAAGGAAGTATAATAACAGTTGGTTCTAAGGGGCGTTAATTTAATTTGGATCCTATTTGAAAATTGATTTATAGTGTATTTAATGACAATCAGTAGCTCAGACTGTGTAGAGTCAAGTGATAGGATAATTGATGAATGAACAATGGAAAGCGTTGTGGAAGGACATGGTTGAGGCCAAATTTTAAGTCTCTAATATACCATCATTTGCTTGAATAAACTGAGGAAACTCATAAAAAGCTGCAGTCGGGATAGCTGGTCTTTGGAATGAGGTTTGAAACCAAAACCTCTCAGATATGAAGCAGGAGTGTCAACAACTCAGCTGGGATGTTTTGTGTTTTGAATTGATAAATTGATAATGTTTTTTTGTGATGCTGTTGTATTTTTGATAGTGGTCAGTATTTAATGTGGGAAGACATGTGATATTGCAGATATGTAATAGAAAATATAACAGGCAATTTTGGCTTCCATGATGTAACAAAATGGGTTTTGAAAGTACGAATTTGTAAGATTTGAAGTGTTCTCAGGATCTGAATGTAGTGAAGTCTTCTTCCTATGTGGTTATCCAGTTAAATATCTAATGTCTGTTTCTGCCTCTATTATCTAGGTGAATGTGATGGGAGACATAGCTGTTTGTTGTGTTTATACAGCCGTTAGCATTTGGAATCCAATATTCTTGTCCAAGAGAACACCAGTAAGGGAACAGTAGGTGGAGTCAGGTGGTCAGTTATTACAGCTTATGTTGCTTAACCTGTACAGTCCTGAATGTTGTCTCTTATTGCTTGTTAATGAAAGAGACTATTAAGATGTGGCTAGATCTCAGAAACCTCAACAATGCATAGGATTTGTTGTAAGTTGATCATGTAACCCTGATACCACCATACTGCATGAAGTAGGGTCTTCAGAAAACAACAGAAGGAAAGAGCAATGAAAGCTGGCATCTGGACTGTGCAGGTTAAGCAACATTGACTCTGTGTTGACTTACAGCATGACTCTGCCCACTCTTCCCTGTTGGTGTCTGTTGAAGAGACAGACATATATGCGGAGCAGTTTTATTGGGGATGCGGATGTTAAAAATTGATTATGTATTGAATGGGGAAACCGGTAACAAAGGGAGATGTGAAATATGTTATGTTGAACTTATTTACTCTTGTGGGAATCATTCAGAAACCTGTCATAAGGTCCTTATTCATTCACTACATAAATTATTTCTACACCAGGTTTGTACACAAGTAAGTTGGATCTAATTTCTATATTCTTGCCATTCTTGGGTGATGAAAGTATGGACTATCTGAGAGACTATCAAAACCAACATTTTTTGTGTTATACACCTTGTAAGAGGCTTAAAGATATTAACACATCTCTAATACTGGAAGGGATGTCTTTCTTTCAAACAATTCCTTCTCAACTCATCAGAATATTGAATAAAAGCTTTCAAAGTTTGTGATGCAACCATAGGATAGCCAGTGATATGAAAACAGGTGTGGCATAAGCAGTTGCAAAATTAATCTTTTAGACCCCACTGTTTAATCTTTTTTCTTTCTCTCTTTGCTTTTTAAGTTTTCCCATCTCTCTCTCAGCTTCTGAAATTACTGTGTCACTCTTCACCCATGAACATTCTTTTGTTCTTTTTTAAGATTTTTTATAAAATGAAGGAGTTTAAAAACAGAGTGCTGAGGAGATATTTTGGACCTAAGAGGGATTGTGTGACAGGAGGCTGAAGAAAATTGCATAATGAGTTGCTTCATAATTTTTATTCTTAGGCAAATATTCAAATCAAGGAGGATGAAACAGGTGAGCATATAGCATGTGTACAGGAAATGAGAAATGGTGAACAAAATTTTGGTTGGAACATTTGAAAGAAAGAGACCACTTATAAGACCTATGTATAGATTTGAAAATAATATTGAACTGGATCCTATTTTGAAATTGTACATCTAATTATAAACATGTTTGTGCGATGCTGACCACTCACCCCCATCTAGTGCCGAGGTCAAGGAAGAGAGGAGCTATACCTCCACTCACCCCAAACGCCTACATGGCGTATAGTGGGACAAACTTTACTTTTACTTTTACTTTACTTTTTGTGCTAATTTATTAGTGGCTTTTCTGTATGTATACACCCCTATATCCACCTGATGATGATCATAAGTGTCACAGCATGTTGGTGTTTTGATAATATCTGCATTTTGTGTTGAGCAGTCTTTAATTTCATATAATGTACGCAACAGGGTATACAAACAAAGAAAGATTTGCCATTTGCATTGCTATGAAAGAATTGTATTTGTTATGTTTGCTTTATTTTAGCAAATAACGCTACAGACATTGCAAGGCCTTCAACCTGGAACCCAAGGCCACTTGCTGCTGAAGACTGAGAATGGTCAGTATCAGCTGTTACGTGTGGGACCGGCACCCACAACACCGGGTGCTGCCATTGCACCAAGCAGTGCAGCAGCATCTATACCTACTGGTGCAACATATCGGCTTCAGTCAGTTCCAGCTGTAAGTATGTTCTGAACAAAAGCTGGTTTTCAGGTTGCCTTGTGTGATGATTGTAGTGTCTAGTATTTGTATTAGTGCCATTCTGAAAATGTTATGTTTTCATGTATAAGAATTTTTTAATTTACTGTCATTTATTTCCCATTTCCAGGCAATTCACAGCTTCAGGCAATTACAGAAAAAAAGACTCCTTCATTTTTAAAGTATGTTGTGAGTTTAATAAATTCTTCTCAGGTTACCAGCCGTGTAAGGTGGCTTAAGAAAGCACTGTTTCAAGAACCATCCTCATCCTCAGGGTACCATCAAGTGTTTAATGCATCGAAACAGTGCTTTCTTCATTAAACCACTTTACACAGTTGGTAGCCTGAGAAGGAATTATTACTCTCTGTTGCTGTGAAAGCTTCAGTTCATACTTATGTCATGAGTTGTCTGAAAAATATGGAATATTGTGATTTGCTGAACTCATTGTTTGAAATTGATTATAACCAATCCACTCCTGCAGTAGATTGGCCCCTTGCATAGAGCATTTCACTTTATTGTTTTGGTGGTTATTTTGTCTTAATTCATTATAGTCTGTTTAATTGTTCTGTTTGAGAACATGATGATTTATTGTATAAACAGCTTGCTCCAAATACATGTGAACAATGCTTTGTACATTTGCTTTAGTCTATATCAAGGAATTAAATGCTGTTGAATTTCATCATATAAGACACTAGTAGATGGCTGTCTTTTGGGTTGTGTCATGTTGTCTGGTAGAGGTTTACCAGTGTTTTAGAGGTTCTTGCTGCCTCCATCATGGTGATCACTGACCTGATGATGGTGGCAGAAAGGACATCAGAAGTATTGGTAAACTTCTACCAGACTACACGGTGCTACAATCCAGAGGACATTCATCTTCTTACTTACTGCCGTTAAAACCTCAAATCCTACATACACCATACTGATAAATAGGATGTCACACTGTAACAATCTGTACTGACTAAAAATAATATGCTTCCAATCTTGTTATGTCTGCCTCTCTGAAAGTAATGGCTTGAGAGTCACATAACAGATTATTATGAAATTTGATACGGGGGACTTTTACAAACATTTGTTGACATATTTCAGTTTAGGTTAAAAGTGGACAATAATAATGTGCATATTACATAAAGACCTACCTGTGTTCCTCGGTGAGATATCTTGGCTGCCTTGTTTATCATGGTTATTGTGGTTACCTTTCATACTGTGGTTACCTGGGGAATCATTATCCAACCATCATGTGGTTGTATCATCCATGATTACCTCGTTAACTAACCAAACATCCTTTCCATGTAATGGTTTGTGATCCCAGACAGATCTAAATTGCTGGAGCCATTCACATAGTCAAGGGTCAAATTTTGGTGAACTTGCCAGAATTGTTATGCTAGGCACATTTCCGTACATGTTTGATTTTCATCCTGGCTCATATTTTTTTGGAATTTATCCCAAGATGCATGTAGAATGTTTGGAGCCTGTCTTTTCCTTATAAACATGAACTGAAACAGCTCAGTCAGTAATGACCGGGTATGGCTTTGGCAACTGGTGTTTGATTCTGGCAGGAACGGGATATTATCTCTTAGCTACCACATCCAGACTCTCTGGATCTCACTTTGCCATCTATGCAGTATACTTACCTTACTTATGTAGGGAATCTTTTCCTAGGGTAAAACAGCTGGAGTATGATGCTGACCTCTTGCCACCATTTAGTATAGAATGTATGGAACTATACCCCACTACCTTGCATATTTATGATGTGATAATTAATTAAGCATGGTGACAGTTTCACCCTTTACTGTTTCCACTCATATAATTTAAACCATGTTGCCCTTAGCTATGTCATCTTGAAGGTATCCAAAGAATTAGTATAATTTTCCGACACTTTTCTCCATTTCATTTTTTAATAAATAATACATAAAATGGTAGAATGATGAAAACGATCTGTTTTGTGCAGCCTGCACACAGTTTTTGTAACAGTGCATTGTTATATGTTGAAAACTTGGTACCTGATGTCAGAAAACGTGTCATGTGGCAGTGAGTATCTTTGTAAGCAACTGTACAGATGAATGAAGAACATCAAATCTGCTGGATGGTTTATGGGATGCTGAAGCAAAAGTAATGTTTCTTGCCAACGACTGATTTTGGTAAAGAAAATTACTGAGTAATGTGTGAATTTGTTTTTAGTAGTAGGCCTAGTTTAGTAACATTTTTAATAAATTTCCATGTTGTTTCTGTAAATTATCTTCCTTTATAATACTTTAGTTTGCAAGTCAGTAAACAAAGGTGAATATGGCCCTGGGTCTGGAAGAGAATGAGAACAGCTATATAGACAGTCAGTTATACATTCTTAACAGATGCTAATTAACTATTTATTTAGGTACCATGAAATGTATTAACTGACTTGTTGCAGCCAAAAGTTTCGGCACCGTAACACCAAAGCCCACCATTGAGAATGTTACTGAGCCAGTTCAATTCACTTGTCTTTCCAACAATTCCTTTTTGTAAAATCCATTGTAGTATTATTTTTCCATTCCCTTCCCTTCCCTGTGTTATGCTATTAACATACCTACAGATTCAGTATTAACAATTGACTGTGTTAGTACTTATGTTCATAAGTACTAACACAGTCAGCTGTGGTTATGTTTGACAAATATAATTAATGGGAATCTGTATTTGTTGAAGTTATGCAGAGAAAAGATTGTCAGATAATACAGTTATTAATTTATAGCAGTTGCTAGCCTTACCATATATATTGAAAATACATATTTTTAGAGATGCAGCCATGAGAGACAAATGTGTACCAAAATATCTTTTGTTGGGCAAATATGAACAGGTGTTTAAATTTAATATACCAAATTTTTTATGCTTCTTCTCCGTGTAGATACTTGCTTTTACAAATACTGTCAGGTTAGATGTATATGACAACTCATTGGTAGGCTACCATTGACACACAGTTAAAAATGGCGTATCTGTAATTCATATAATTTGGTGTTTTCTCCTCAATTCTTAGAATACTGTTCATATTTTCCAGCATGGTGCAGTCACCGTAGCCACTACAAGTGCTGCTGCTGCTGTTATTCAGCCCACACAGCCACCTGCTCTGGTCACACAGAATGCCACAGTGCAGGTATAGCCCTATCTCTGTATCTGGATTTTATGACACAGATCAAAAAATTAATTATCTTTTTTATTCTAATATATATAATATATTATAATGTCCCATAAAACCCATAGAATGTTTTTCTGATAAACACTTTAAGAATATAAAGTCAGATGAATGATACCAATTATACATTTTAAGCATTAACACTAATACTGTGTATTGTATCTTAAATCAGTTCTTAGCAGTCACCACAAAGGATCACTGTACATCCAAAAACTTATCAACATTTGGTGTCTGTTGCATAGCTCCAAACTTGCATGTTCATAGAGTATAAAATTACAGAGCTGGATGATTTGTGTGCATTTTGGTACTGGTAACAAAATTGTAATAGTTACTGCTTTTGAAGTATTTTCCAGGGAATTGTTTAATTATGTTTTTCTTTTGACCATCTTTCTTCATTTGTCAGGAAATGATGATTCTATATTCTTTTTAATAAAAAGCATAATTTTATCGTATACTTGTTTAAGTATGGTGTAGCAGTGGAGCCAGATTTGTTTCTGCTATGTTAGTGATTGGTAGTTCAAGGTTTGTCAGTAGCATTAACTTATCCATTAACATCACTTTGTGCAGCTAGAATTGCTGTGGTTTCTGTTTATCCAATTGTATTTCATAGTTCATAATATCCCTTCCCCCATTTTTATTCTAGTGTGGCATAGGCTAAAAACTAATACTAAGTATGTACAGTACGTGACTGTAATCTTGAGACTTGCCAGGAATGCAGGAAGTCCAAAGTGTTAAAGGCAGACGCTATCTTTCCTCCTTCACCCCACTTCCTCACCCTGCAAGTCTCAAGATTACAGTCGTGGACTATACCTCCATAAAACATATTTGCACTCTAAACTTATAGGATTTCCCAAGAGGACTGTCATGTTGAAGGCTCACTTATAGTTGGTAAGGTTTTGAAACTACCTTTGTGTAAAGACATTCATATCATTGCCATCAGATGGTACCAGATATTCTACTTTGTGAAGACTTGGCATTGAAGTGATCAAATCAAGGTGGATGATGTGTATGTAGCATGCATAGGAGAGATGAAAAATGCATACAAAATATGGTGTACCATGCAGTAAATGTGGTATGTTTACCTATAGGTCTTGAAAATGTGTTGGTAAGGGATGGCAAAAAATGCTCCTTTCCCACAGCCATATGTCTTGTGGTGTAAGATCTTGAAAGTTTGATGGATAGGGAAATTTGGTTTCTGTGAAAATGAAGTGGTCTTGATGAGCATGTTGCACCATAATTTATTGTGGTCTGTTCCTGTGAATGGAAAAAATGCTTTATTTTGAAAACCTTTTTATGAGCATTCATTGAACTCTCAGTATAGTGACTGACTGCAGACTGGATGACGGGTTTGATCCCTGATGGGCAGAGGATTATTTCTCTAGCCTCTGTATCCAGACCGGCTCTGGGGCACACCTACATGGCATATAGTGGGACAGCTTTGTTTTTTTACTTTTTATACATTGCACTCTATGGCCAGTTAAGCCAACAAATATGTAGCAGAACATATGTGCAGTTACAGGAGTGCTTTAATCTTTTCAGCTACTGACTGTTGGGTTGTATTGTAGTTGTCTTTTGAATCTTAGAGAGGAAGACGTACAGATCTGATGTTAAGCTGTGTACTTAGAAGTGCAGTGGCTAAATCTGTACATAAATATAGTTATTGCATCTCCCTTATCTATTCACATACTGTTACTGTTTAGAGCTGTACTGATAAACTTAAGCCCGAAAATAGGATGCCTTCATCACAGTATAAATGGTATATCTGCAGTGCATTATTATTTTTTGCGTATGCTTTAGCTGCATGTACATGCAGCAAAAAGTCAAAGTGAGACTGGACTCAGGAGACACCAACAGCGTTGAGATAGGTAGAGGTGTAAGACAGGGATGCTGCTTATCACCAATTCTTTTTAACCTGTACGGGGAATGGCTTGCCAAGGAAGCTCTGGAGGGAACAGGAGACTTCAAAATTGGAGGAAGAGTGATAAAGACTGTAAAGTATGCAGACGACTTAGTAGTATTGGCGAAGGAAGAGGAGGAATTACAGAACATGATGGACAAGTTAGTGGAAACAGGTAGAGAGTATGGAATGGAAATCAACATTGAAAAAGCAAAGGTAATGAGGATAGCACCGAGAGCACAACCATTGAACGTTGTAATTGGAAACCAACAGATGGAGAATGTGGAGCATTTCAAGTACTTGGGAAGCATAGTCACGACGGACGCCCTATGCACCAAGGAAGTAAAAGCAAGGATAGCCATGGCCAAGGCAGTTTTCCGTCAAGAAGAGGATACTTCTCACTAGCAAGTTGGGCTTGGAGATGAAGAAGAAACTAGTGAAGTGTTACGTATGGAGCAGAGACTTGGACACTCAGGAAGAAGGAACAGAAATACCTGGAGAGTTTTGAAATGTGGTGTTGGAGAAGAATAGAGAAGATCAGGTGGACGGATCGAGTGACCAACGAAGAAGTATTGAGGAGAGTCAACGAGCAAAGAAGCATTCTGCAGGCGATTACACGAAGGAAAGCTAACTGGCTGGGACATATTATGAGAAGGAATGGGTTACTGAGTGATATAATCGAAGGCCAGGTTGAAGGAAAGAGAGGACTAGGAAGAAGATTGATACAGCTAACCGACGACCTTAAACAAGGAAAGAAGATGACGTTCCAGGAATTAAACCGAGAAGCCGAGAATAGGGACAACTGGAGAGCTCTTTTTGGGCAGAGCAATGGACCTGTCGTAAGACAGAACACTTAATAATAATAGTGCTTTAGCTTTGTTAATGCTGTTTGTATTTTTAAAATTGTATCAGTAAGTCTGTAATTTTAATTTGAAATAATTTTGATAAAGGATTTATCTATTAATGATAAGGGAAAAACTGCTTATGTCTCATTGCAGATTTATATACAACAAATGAAAAAGATACATGAAATAAAAAAGTACAGAAACCTTATTTGGAAAATAGATATGTAACAAACTAGATAAGTAGTTTGATTATATTTAGAAGCATTGTTTGTTGAAACAATGACACTAGGTTAATTAATATTCCTGTTGATGAAATGTTCTGTCTTGCAGCGGCATACGGTGGATACTACCAAAGAGAAATGTCGGAAGTTCCTCGCAAATCTTCTGGAACTGTCCAGTCGAGAACCTAAATCTGTGGAGAGGAATGTTCGGACTTTAATTCAAGAGCTGATTGATACCAAGGTGGAGCCAGAGGAGTTCTGTGACCGTCTGGAACGGTTGCTCAATGCTTCCCCACAGCCCTGCCTTATTGGATTTCTCAAGGTGCGTGAATTGCTGTAACCGCCTGGTGTTTTTATTATCATAAAAAATTGTCCACAGACAGTAACAACTTTAGATGGCTGTCTTCTGGATTGCTGCTAGTCTGGTAGACATTTACCAACGTTTTATAGGTCCTTGCTGCCTCCATCATCAGGGCAATGATGGAGGCAGCAAGGACATTGGTAAACTTCTACCAGGCTACATGGCACAACAAGCCAGAAGACTCATCTTCAGACTCACCACCAAGGAAACCTCAAATCCTACTTAATAACAGCTTTATTTCTTTCACCATGTTGCTGTTAGTACTTTTAAATTTGTTGTTAATTTGGTTGTAGATTCTAATTAATTTGATATTAGTATAATTGCAACAGAATGGGAGGACTGACTGTCCTCTGACTTTACATGGACCTACTTTTTGTTCAGGCATCATATTCAAATCTAAGCACCTTCATTGAGGCGAGTGACATTTGACAGAGAGTTGTTTTCACAGTTAATATTAGTACCACAAAGTTTGTATGCTGCATCTGTTGGTAGAGGGGATTACTGGTGATTGTGTACTTTCAGACATTTTGGAACAATCTAGATTCTGGAATGTGGATTTTCTTCTCAATTAGGGAGAGGCACAGAGGGTAGCTTTAGGGACTGACATCTATAAGTCGCTTTGGAAGAAAATTGAAAGTATAGACAGTGCAAAAAATTACAGAAAAATGACACAGATGGTTAGTAATCATTTGTTATAATGTAGGTTCTGGGAAAAAAAGCCCATGTTTTATGCAAGGTTTTCATATGTAACTAACGAATTGACAGTGAGGAAGGACCTTCTCACTGTAATGAAGTTCTCATTGTAAGATTGTTTGGCATGTTTGTTCTATTGTTGTTATAAAATGCAAAAGATCCTGAGGGGTGGGTTCATTATTTTTCACCTTGTGTTATTGTCTTTACTTTTCCATCAGCTAATCACTGTTGTCTGTTATTGTCTGTTGTCAGTCTCAACATTGTAGGTTTTGAAATTTTGCTGTACCTGTGAAATGTAAGTGAATTCTGAGTGTGTATAGGATAACATGTGGTTTGACTGGTAATGTTTAAAATTGAACATATCCTGTAAGTGGAATTTTTAGTTAGTGCTTAGTGAACAGCGAAGTTTTACGTTTATTTTTACTGTATTGCGAAGTTTCCATACTTTACTTGCAGTATCATTGTATACATGATTGATTTTCATTATAATATTGGAAGCTCCAGATGTTGCTGTAAAATTGAAATGTAATTTTATAACAAAAGGGCATTTATATAAGTGATTACAGTGAAACCTCGATGAATCGTTTTTGGCAGGGGTGGGAAATAAAAACGACGAATACGGGAAAACGATAGTTGCGGGAAAGCATTAAAATTTTTAAAAAAAACAGTGTTTCTCTTTCAAAGTTACTTCTTTTTACCAAAAAAGTCTTTAATGTACAACTGGTTTGTCAAAACTTTACGTTTTAGGCCAAACAGAGCCCTTTCCACGTTCAAAATGTTTTCCTTGTCACGTTCACTAATATTACGCGCATAAAAGAACGACTTCACTTTTGCCAATGCTTCGGCAAAACTCGGCACAGCTTCGGGCTCGCATTCGTCGCCTTCCTCTGCCTCACCACTCCCACCCCCTTCGCGGACAATAACAGGAAGAATGGAAATACTATTACTGCCGAACTCAACGAAACGTAGCTGTACCACTGAACCACTGGAAACGAGATGAACCAGAAGAATGAAAAGTGTCGCCCGCCTTTCCTTTGTACTTGTAATAAAAGCATTTATGAAGAAATTCACAGTGCACATGCCATTTGGCATCGCTGGAACGAAATATGAGTGCACCCTAATTAAACTCATAAAATTTCTGACAATGAGCACTGCCATTCACTCCAACCATCACCCCTGCACTGCTGACCCCTCATTCCAAAAGAATCTGTGCTGGTTGGGCGACATACCAGGTTACCACTAGTGCGTATTTCAAAAACATTGTGCGTCTTTCGGTATTAATTTATCTCAAAACCCAGCATTTTAATTTCTCAGAAACGATCATTGCGGGAAAATTGTGGGCCGGGACTAAGATTTTTGAACGATTGATGCGATAAAACGATAGTTCGAGGAACGATAGAAGCGGGAAAATGTAACATTATTTTATATGGGATGTATCCGGTACCCAACAAAACGGATGATGCATCCGGGAAAACGATAGTTCCGGGAACGATGGATAGAGGTTTCACTGTATATTGAAGTTAGTCTGTAACTCTGTAATTTTATGTTGTGCTTTAATTAACTTGAATGTCAGGCATTATAATAACAACAATAACAACGACAATTTGTTTTTATAAATTGTGTAAGGAGTTTATGACTGCTGGTTCTGTCTGTGTTGTGACACATTTTAATTATTTGTTACAGAAAAGCTTACCTCTTCTCCGCCAGTCACTTGTTGCTAAAGAACTTGTGATAGAAGGCATTCGCCCACCCCCTCATCATACTGTGGTTTTTTCACTACCGAACTCTGCTACAATGGTGCCACAACTACAGGTAAGTTACTGTTCCAAATTCTCAGAATGCATATTTGAAAGGTGACATCAGGCATTACACTGGCGACAGTAATTTCTTATCATTTACATTTGTACTAAGAGTGTTTTTTTGGGACTCTGCTTTTTGTATGTATACTGTTCCTTGGTATACATTCAGAAAATCTTTTCAGAGAGTTGAATCAGCAAGGAAGCACTGCATTTTGACATGAGTATTTTGGTCTGTTGGTCTTATAGCATTCCATTTCATACAGATTTCTGCTTACACCACAAAGATCCCTTGATAACAAGTTTGTAAAGGAATTGAAGCTACTGATCCACTTTCTTACATCATTTCACATCTTACAGTCATGAAGAGAGTTGTAGAGGACTGGATTGGACTTCTGTGACAAAATGTTGGGTTTGATTTCAGCTGAATGTTGTATTTTTGTGCCTTTCCTTTCACTCGCCTCTGGCAAATGCTATGAATGTACAATATACCAGGCCATGTTAAGATGCCAGCCATCATTCTCTTAATGAGGCAGCTCCCACTTCCGAATACACTCCATCATTGTTGAGGCAGAGGCCAGGAAGGTAGAATGGACCATATCTGGATGTGTTAGGCACAACAGTGTGAAAAGTGCTTGCCTTTGTAAGGTGATAGGACTCCTTCAGGATTTTATGGGTCATCAAGTTAATCAACATTCTGTCATAGAGTTAGTCCATTAAGTTAATCTGTTTTTGTCTCAGCATTTGTATCATCCAGTAGTCTTTCAAGAGAGTATCCATATCAGCTGTCTTCGTATTGTGTAATAATTAAAAATTTATTTTTGTAGTCTGTGGTCTTCAAATCAGTAGACAAGTTATATCTCTTGTTTAAAGTTTTTCCATGGAATCAATTTTGAGTTTTCTAAAATTGAGAAGAGTGTATGCTGCTGTTGTCACAAAATTGTAATCTTTGAAGCCGTTTTTTATCATAATAGTTTATTCTCCAAAACTCAGTCTGTTTTTGTCTTATTCCATTGTCAAGATTTCACTGCTATGAAGGAGAGTGTGAAGAGCAAGTTGTACAATGTTAGTCATGATGGTTTTGAACTAAATTTGGTTTGTGTGTGTTGTTTAAATGTTCCAGTATGTTCACAAAATTTGTGATTTTGGACACTGTCTTTCTCTTCTTGATATGTAATATTACAGTCTAGGTATGTGAAGGCGATTATTTGTTTCAGTATTGTATTTTATATTCTACTTCATAAAATTCAAGCCAATTTAATTGCATAAATTGCTTCAAAATTAATGCACAGTAATGATAGCATGACAAAACTCAGATTCAATCATGCTGTTTGCCACTGGCTTGAGTACTCGTGATAACACTGATGAAAATGCCGAAAACTAAATGTGAGTGGGGAAAATGCTGTATGAACAGAGTGATGAATGCAGTTAGTAACTGTAGTCTGCAGCAAGTAAAATAAAGTTTAAGAATTTTGTGCCTGTTTGAAAATTTAACTGTTTTGTAATGTGGTATGTCAGACTGCAGCGTTTTCTTCATGGATCTGCATTCGTGGTGTAAAGTCATTGACTATTTCCACTAAAGCTGTGGACTTCTGCATGGCATGAATGTGGTATGTTGGAGAGAGCATGCATACATGGGTTAAGCAATTCTGGTGGTGTGGGCAGTTGGGATCATGGGCAGACAGTTGCTGCATGGTGTACACAAATTGAAAATATGTTTTTGTGAAATGTGAGATTTAAATCTGTTTAATTATTCAATGACTGTCATATGCCAGTGATTGGTTCACTGATGCAGTATGATTGTGTTTGATGTCTGCTGTCATAAGTTGATTTGTTATACACAAGTTTGAGTGTTCAGTATTCTTTGGTCTTTAGATCTCTGACTTTTTAGACCTATTCTGATCACTTCTGAGTACCTATTAAAGTCACTTTGTCAGTCTGTAAGCATGAAATATCTCAAGGACATTGAATACATTTTCATGAAATGTGATATTGAGGAGTGTATTAAAATGTGTCAGCTCATTCCAATTTTCATTGAAATCTACAATATTAGGCACATTATGTGAAGACCTACATGTAATCCTGTATGCTGGGAAATCTCCAGGCTGCCTTGGATACCATAGTTATGTAGTTTAACAATCAAAGGTCAGATTCTGGTGAACAAGCCAGTATTATGCTGTGTGTACATGCCCTAACTTGATTCCTTTTTGTGACATCGGCGAGGTTTAAACCTGGTATTCTTTGAATGGTGGTGGTTGGTTCTGATTCTTTGGTCATTTAAATAACACTCCTTTGTCTGCATATGTTATGTGGTATTGAATCGAACATGGATAGCGAATTCAACTCTAAAGGGTTCTGACAGTAGTGGATTACGCGTGAAATTATTCATCGTCTGGACTTTTTTCATTGTCCTTGTTTAAAAAGAAGAAACCATGACATTTTGGAAACTGGGCTCTGTTTCCTTCTTCAGGTGAGAGGTACCTACTCAGTTGGATCTGTTAGATAGAGCTAGTTTCCATCACTGAAGATGGAAACAGAGCAAGTTTCTGAAACGTTGTGGTCTCTAATTTTAAACAAGGACGATGATTAAAGTCCAGACAATGAATAATTTTATGGAGAAGTTCTGCGTAAGGCAGTGGTCATAATCTCTAAATGTACTGCCCCATTATTTACTTGGAGGGACTGAGGAAAACCATTAACCCTTTTTCAGGATACTTGTTAATGTGTCAGATGTGTTGCTGTTTTGGTTACTTGCCCACTTTTTATCAGTTATTTATAGCTGGAAATGTCAACTGCATACATATAGCTTTGCATGCATTTATCTGCAATGATGGAAATGGTTCACCATACAAGATATTTTTGATTTGTTTGGCACAGGAGAATCGTTAGAAGTATCCTTAAACTCATTCTACAAGTTAAGTAAGAAAGAGATTCCAGGTAGTGTTCAACAATGAACACTCATAAAAAAATTTCATTGCACTTCAACTGTTGAAAGATAACTGGTGGACTGGCACAAGCAAGTTACAACATTACATGACCTGCGTGGGCTATTGCTTAGTCATAGTGATATTGTGTGTTTATTAATCCAATCAAATTGTGTTAAATTGCCATATTTTAATATGGGTTGCGTAACTTTTTTATCACTGAATGTAAAATACATATCCATTTAAGGTGTATAACTTAATGTGAAACATGGTTTTAAAGAAAAATAATTTTTTACTCTAGGTAGTGTAAATAGCTTTGTAATGGTATGTATTTCAGCAGTGTGACAACTGACTACTGGCATTCATGTTTTTCTTTAAATTGAAGAAATACTGTGTACATTAATACTTATATCATATCTGCCATAATACTGAGTCACTCAATTTATCACATTGTTAGAGCAGTTTGAACATAATATTACTGCTGCAGTTGAACATATGTGGTTCTTGTAGTTCTTGCAGTTCATCTTCGTACAACTAGTTGCTAGTTTTGTTGTCTAGCAACACTCTGCCACACTGCAACATTGTTTCTGTAAAAGAACTTTAAAACAGTGTTTTCATTCACTATCTGTGTCTCCTTCACTGCGGCTTTTCCCTGCTCTGGGGGGGACCCTATTTGCTATCATGGCAACATCACTATAACTTTTTACCGTAAAAAGTGTAGCTCTGTAATGGCTAGTCCCAGCAAAAATTACAACACATAGGAGACTGGAAACACGAGTTGTTCAAACTTTTCCCTCTACATTTTTCTGTATTTTGCCAAACAACTATGTTACCTTATGATACCAAACTTATGGGACAGTCTGTATATGTATTGGTTGTTACTGTATTCGTTGTAAATATTCCAGTGTAAAAATTTGTAAATAGTTTTTTGCACAATGGACTGTTCTTCAGAGAATGGGGTCAAGTTTCATGTGGTGATATAGAGAATCATGATTGATGTTTGTAGGTGTTTATCATTATGACCTAGGATTTATGATTTGTCTGTGCTAATGATGTCCATACAGGGGGAATTTGCAACATGCAGAAGAGGATATTTTTGTCAGCAAATTAGCATTTACTGCAGTCATCAGCCTTTTTTTCATGTATTAGTTGATGTTTAAAATCAACAGCTGTTGTTTGTCACTTGTTTCTTCTTCCGAGTTATTATGTCTTCATTGCTTTTATGGAATATCCTGAACAACTTTGGGCCTTCAGTTGTTAAGTAATTCTAGACCTGAGTTATTTGAATGCTACTTTACTGTACAACTGTGTATTTCATGAACTGTTGTCATATTGGAATAGGGGATTTAAACCTGTATATTGTGGGGTTGCCAACTGAGCTTTAACTCTGGGTTTTATTGTTTAGGGGTATGCTTCTGTGACACACAACTTATAGACACCTATGTAAGCCATGATACATGTGTTATAAAGATTAATTATTCTGAAGTTGTGCCGCCATAATTGTTGTACTTCGATAAAAGTGGTATAATCAGTTCTTACATATGGTTGGCATATATTATTTATGTTATTCACGTGTCCTTTGATTGATATCGGCATAATATTCTGTGTGTTTGGCACTTTCATTATTATTTGAATTCTTGAAGCAAAAACTGTTATGTGTAAGCATAGAGGAAGGAGGGGTGCTGGCTATGCATTTTGATCCAAGTGCTTTGATAAGTTAGAGCAGAGAAGTACTGGAGTAAAGCTGAAGTGAGCTCATCCTACACTTGGAATGTGTACTTCTCTGGATGGAACATAATTGGATGGGATGAATATTTCGTGACCAAAGTACAGAATAGGATTTGAGGTTTTCATGGTGGGGAGTTTGAAGATGGCTGTCTTCTGTGTTGTGCCTCGTAGTCTGGTAGAAGTTTACCGACGTTTCAGAGGTCCTTGCTGCCTCCATCATCATTGTCCTGATGATGGAGGCAGCAGGGACCTCTGAAACGTTGGTAAACGTATACCAGACTACATGGCACAAAAACCCAGAAAACAGCCATCTTCAGTGTTCAGAATTTTATGCACTTTGCTTAGAAACAACCTCAGGTTATACTTGTATGTACCAGTTGATAAAAGACTTTGATTTAGTATTGTATAATGCAGCAGAAGATGTCTGATTCTACTGCTGTAATTTTTCTTTGGTGTGTGCTACAGAATAGTTAGGGGGCTGCACTGACAGCCAGTTGCAGTGTACAGTGGGAGAGGAACCGTACCCAGACACAGAGATCTGAAGGGGTTAAAATGGTCAGATAATTAGCAGAATGTGTTCATGTGGAGGCAGGAAATGTGTCCAGTGTTGAATGGAGTTTGGTTGGCAATATTTGATTCATAGTATTACATGTTTACCGTTTTGTATAGTAAAGGGCTGGTGAATACATTCTGTGTATTACCTAGTTTCACTCATAACTTTATGCAACACATCTGCTTGCAATGTGTCATTCTGAAACAGATGTAGTGAAGTTGATGTAAATTCCCAATTAATATTGAAGTTACATGTGTAAGTCAAAATTTTCACATTGTAGAAAGCCTCATGCAGCGTCACTCACTGTTCATTCAAGGACAGTTGTTTTGATGTATGTGTATCTTGTAGACGCAGCTGAGGCCACAGACACCGACAGGTCAACTTAGACTAATGACACCAGTGAATGCCTCCACTCAGAGTGTAGGAGTAACGACAATACCTCGCCCTGGTCAAACAATACAGCACCGACTTGTTACGGTGAGAACAGCATTTTGAAACAAATGGTACCAATTTGCTAGTAATTTGGCATCATACCACAGTTGTTAACAATGGGTGAGCTACAGTATTACTTAGTCATTTTTATACTTTTACTTTTTCCTTGCCTTAAATTTTGTGGTCAGTAGGAATTATAAATTCAATGTCTGGTTCCTGGGGAAGTTAGTGTCATGTGTAAGGTAGGTACTTGTGTTAGAAGTCTGTAGAATTTTATTATAGTTTTTTTAGCAGTCCAATGCTAAAAGTGTGTGTTGCTATGTCCAACATCTCAGTGTGTGATTTGCAGGGGAGGCTTGTGTAAAATGGCCTACCCACATAAGATGGTCATTTCCTCTTATTCTCTTAATGGTGTTGCAATTAAGTGGACTAGATTCCTGTCACATGTGCATTAGTGTATTAAGTTCTCACAAAGAGAACTCTTAATACAAAATGTTTTATATGACAAAAGCTGGTTTCATGATACTTGATGTCAGTTATGTACATAGTATTTTGCAGATTTTAATTTATAATGTATATGATATGACAAGTGTAAGAGTGATTGAATAAACAGCAGACATTAAGCTAAAATGTAGTAAGTGATTAGATATGGTTGCATTTCTTCATTACCATCCTATACTGGTGTTCAGTTTTGTAAACAGAACGTACAGAGGGATGTTTTTTCCTGGTGTTTTAGTAAAACAGACATTTTATAAGGTTTCAGAAATGTTCACTTTTCAAGAGAACGTAACCTTTTAAACAGTGCAAAGAAATATACAAGTTCACTTAATAATGACTTCACCTACTGGTTTCTAGTTAATGCCATTAAAAGCAATCAAAGTAGAGTTAAATGTTGGTTTAAGTAGACCATTTTTTTGTGGGCCTCCCCTACACTTCTGCTTTGAGTATGTGACTTTACAATTGTACCAGTTGTACGGACCATACTTCATTGCATGTTGTTATGTTGAAAAATCTGTCACTGAATTTATATGCTGTGTCGTCAAATATAATTTTTAGTTTCATTTTATTGATTTTAGTATTAACTCTGAAAAGGAAACTTCAGAATTCTAGTTCCTTATCACCCCGCACATGTCTGACAATGTTTAAACATGACTAAAGCATAGTGTTACCACCTCAAAACGTTTTCAGTTTCTGAGATTTTTTATCACTCTGTTCAGAAAACCAAAAAGAAATTTTGAAAGGTCATATGAGTTATAATGTTGATTTGGTGTGGCAGGTTGTTGGGACTATGTAGCACTGAACAAAGATAAAATTATTTTAAACAGAACTTATAATTAATGTTAACATTCCACTGCATTATAAATATGTAAACTCTAAAATATTCAGATTACCTGATCAGCTGATGAAACCTAAGATGCGTCAAAATGTGCAGATTTCCCAAGGTTGACTGCATCTAACAGGAATGAAACTCGTTTTTGGAGACTTTGGCCTAAAATCAAGGAGGTGGTTACCCTATTAGTGTATACTGTATTTGTAGTGCTTTGCTCTTTAGCCATTTTCAGTCCTAAAATATACCATCTTCCAGAATATGTTTTTTTTACAATATAAATATAATATTTTAACAAAATCAGGAAGTTGATTTTTAAGCTATATTTCCAAGTTTTGAAACATGGTAAAAAGGAAAATAAGAGTGACATCGGGAATGGGAATTGTTTTGCTGTAGATTTGGCAGTAGTGTAATACAGTTTGGTATTGTTAATTTGAATGCTGAATACTGTTCAGAAATGTTTGTCAGTTTGGTATATGTGCTCACGATGAAGTATGAAATTATGAGTTAACAGTGTGAACTGAAACCACTCATATTCCCTCTTTTTCAGGCAGAAATTAAATTTATTTAGTCAACAATTACCAGATCCCAGATATATTTATATTCAGTGTTTAAATTTACAACAAACAATACCAGTTGCTGTTCCGATGAAAGCTTTTACTTCTTTCACTTTGTCTGTTATAACAATCAAAATTGGTTATTCCTAAACATCTTTCATCTTCAGAATTAATTCTCTGATTTGTAAATGATCCCTATCAACTTTGTATAGTTTTCCAAGAAATCTTTAGACATCAGCAAAGTTTATATACCGGTTTGGCTGACAAGCATTCTTCTGATTTGTGACGAATGACTCTTGGGCAACAAGCTGCGTCAGGTGGCTGAATGGTGAATGAACCATTTCTTTCGCCAATGTTTCGAGAGCCATCTATGCTGTCATCCTCAGGTTAGCTGCGAAACAAAACTGGCCCTATGTAGTGCGCTCACTGATGGGAACTGGCGGTGGACGGCAGGTAGTAGCATCGTGTATTTTTGTAAATGGTGGCCCATCTGTTGCTTTGTTTCGTGCTGACCAATAGGAACTGGCAGACGAGGCTAAGTGCTCGCTCTTGCTGACCAGTTCCCATCGGCGAGCGCACTACATAAGACCAGTTTCGTTTTTTAGCTGCCCTGAGGTTGAGAGCAGAAGTGGCCCTTGAAACGTTGGCGGAAGAAATGGTTCATTCACCATTCAGCCACCTGACACGGCTTGTTGCCCAAGAGTCTCTCATCAACTTCAGTCACTGTGAAAGCTTCACTTTATACATATTTATGATGTTTGTTTAATGCGGTCAGTGGTTTGATTTATATTGCAGAAATTTGCAATTGTGATGTGTTTTCTGACACTGTTAAACACCTAAGGACAGAGCTGTGCATCAGCAATCCAGATTGGTGTCTGACATGACTTGGCATGTGATGGGATGGGTCGTCATATGCATGTGGTATGGTTGAGGTGCATGTTAGAGGTTTCCAAACTCAGAATTGATGTACACCTAACCTGTGATTTGCAAACAGTTAATTTCACTTCAGTGCCATGGACTTTCTAATGCTTTAATTTCTAATTTTTGAAACACTTTTTGCTAGAACAAACTTTTGAGTCATTCTTAAGTGAATATACTTAGTTCTAAATTCAAACTTACACATATTTTATGGTCATAAAGATGGCTGTCCTCTGGGTTGTTGCAACGTGTGGTCTGGTAGAAGTTTTCTGATGTTCAGGAGGTGCTTGTTGCCTCTGTCATAAGCAAACTTTTACCAGACTACATGGTTCAGCAACCCAGAAGAGAGTCTTCATACTTCCTGTCATAAGAACCTCTTATTATCTTCTGGCCTTGTTTGGTGCTGTACAGCCTCTATACTTGAAACAGAGTACTTAAATAACCTAAGATTCAATTACAATCATGGGAGGAATATAGTGGTGACTACATAATTGAACATGTATGATACAGTTAATTGTATGATCAGTTTGTATGGCAACCAATATGCAAATAAGGAACTTGCATTCTGCATGCTAATAGGGATGAGCTGCATGCAGAGCAAAGTCAGGGTCACTGTTACTCTCCTTCATTCACTTTGTGCTTCATGAACTGCAAGTAAGTGGACATATGCATGTTTTCTGCTTTTGAATAAAGCTGCATTTTAATTTTTGAAAGCTGGAAGTAAAGAAGAATATAGTTAATAAAATCTTCAAGAAGTTTTTATTGAGTTGAGTCATCGTGAAAGCTTTTAGTATTATAAGAATACAGTGTTTGGAGATAGAATTTCTCTAAGCAAATTATGATTTGAAGAGTGGGAAATGTAAAGACTGGAATTTGACACGGTTTACAGACTTAACAGACAGAAGAAGAGTGTCTGCTTTACTTGGTGAGAATAAGGGGTTTAATAAGCTCTTTTATCAAGAAATTTGTCTTATTTGAGATATGAGAATATAAATGTAAATTTAACTGTAATAAATGATAGCTCTTTAACATTGACATGTACAGGAAGAACAAAAGTGTAATGGACATGAATATGCTTGACTATTGATTATGCTTTATATAATTTTGTTTGTTTTGGGGAGGAACGTTTTTGTTACAAATGGGAAGGAAATAAGCCAAAATTTCAAAAACAAGTGCAGAATACTTGCAGTGGTTTAATAAAATGGATTAAAAAATGAAGAAATTGAAAATGTGTAGCACACTCAGTAAAACAGTGTTGTGTAGGTATTAGTATAGTGTTGGATCAGTGTATCAAGCACATACCTGTCTGAAATGAAAAATTTTCATGTTACTTAGGATCCTGTTAGGCGGGAAGAAGACAGCAGAGAAACAGGTTTTATTGATATTGACAATATTTGTTGAAAGTTATTTGACAGATTTATCGTTGATCTGTATTAGACAGTTCACACTGAATATTACAGATGAGTGGTTATAGCACTATTGCTTCATATTTAGAAGTCCTGTATTCAGATCTCAGCCTTGAAACTGTCCACTGAGGTTCTTCATGGTATCCTCAGACCCTTCTGGCAAATGCTGTGATAGTACCTTAAAATAGTGTATGATCATGTCTTTCCATATACTGGGTCTCCAATTTATGAGCTTACGGTCTTGCTTACATTGCGTTATCGGCCGCTGCTGTTGACGAAGGCGGGACTTGTACGCGTGAGTCACGGGCCAATCATTTTCGGTGCCGCTAGTAACAGCGAACTACGAATATTTCTCGTCACTAATACATGTTATTACATTAATTGTTTTTACCTTAAATCACAAAAAGAAAATATTCGACAATTTCCCAAGAAGACCTTCGTTGAGTATTTCGAAACATGTTAACGAGATGTGAAACTTGCTTGCAAGCACAAGGAAGTCACTTTAAACAGCACTTCGTCAACAGCAGCGGCCGATAACGCAATGTAAGCACGACCGTAAGCTCATAAATTGGAGACCTGGTACTTCCTTATAAATTAATCATCCACTGATATACAGTGTGTTTTCTTGGAAGGAGGAATCAAATTATGAAATGTTATTGGGGTGATGTTTATCATTTAAAAGGAAAATGAGTTATTTAAAAAAAACCCAGGAAGTACACTGTAATCCTTGTTTGGTATGACATGAAGAAATCATTTTAGTAAATGCTTCCAATATGTTTACCATGCATGCCTGATGTAGTTCCAGTAACCAGTGGTGAGTTCTTTTTGTTTTCCACATTTTGAACAAAGTTGATAGTGAAATGTATATGTAATATTGTGTTCCCTCTGGACAAACAAGTAAGGGCGTTAGGAAGGATAAAGTTGTTGCTCAAAAGACATCCTGCTTTGTTTGGTTTAGTTTCTCTAACATACAGAATCCTGCTGTCTAATTCTCATTTTCTTTTATCTTGCAACATTTTAGTCATAGTTGTACAATTTATAAATTTGCTTTGCCCTTTTTATCAGCCATTTTAATTTGTTTCTGAGAGCAATGGACTTCCTGGAATTTATATAGGTGTCAGGCGACTTTTTGTCAGTACTTCACAATCTTATTCGTGAAGTCATGCACATTCAAAAATTTCATGTGAATATAGGTCCAATTCAGAACTATGTATGTATGAAATTCAAGATGATTTGAACCTTACATAGAACTTCAACGTCATTCATGTGTCTTACAGCATTGAAAATCTGATGTATTTTGTCTATTCTGTTTACTATGCATTCATATACCATGTTTTTATTGTCACCCAATACTTGGAAATCTAGGGGGGAGTGAGGTGCAGGAACTGCAGTGTCCCCATCTGTGGACCACCACAACAGTCTGTTAGGGATCTGCTCATTGAGATACTCTGACATATCACCCCATCACACCATCTATAATCATGTTTTGTGTTGTTCATGTCGTCATTAATTTCTGCCCATTGGTCTGTAACCATTGAGAATTTGGCTCATGTTCATATGACATTTCTAACTGTGAATGACCTCAGGAATGAGTTTCTGAAGTATGAACATTAAGACTCCAGACACTGTATATTTTCTGTAAGAGGTTTTATGTTGTTATTTGGAATAATTGCTGAAGTTTGTTATGTGGCTCATGGACACATTAAAGGTTATTCAGACATGCTTTCATAAATTTATTTGTATTTTTTGTAGGGCTATATCCTTGCTGTAGTTCAGATATATTGCAGGTGCTGTTATATCTTTGATATCAATTTGAGAATGGGAAGTGCTTTATTAACCCCTTCAACATAATGGTTTCTCAATTAACTATTTACCCTTGAATTTTGCTTCTTTGTAGCATATTGAAATGAGTTCTGGGAAGAATTTATGATGTTTACTTTTTTAATTGCTTCTGTCTGTATTGTGAGGCCAGACAGAACTGTAAATTATAACTGCAATTTAGTGATCCAGTTCTTTATATAATCTCTACTAGTTCAGATTTCCATTATATTAAATTTGCCAGAAGTGACTTAAAAATTTTGTGTGGTCACCATATTTGTGGTCATAAATATGTAAAGAATATTTCATCCAGAATCTGTAGGTCTGTTTATGATCTATCACCATACAAAATTTTGCACATTTAGGTCCAATATTTAATTAATTTTCACAGTCTAAAAATTACTTTAATTAAAATTGTATAGTTAAAATAAATCCACTACATAAAATGTCAGGTTCCTGCATTAAGTTTTGTTAATGTCACTCTCAACCCAGAAGTTTTGCGTGGCTGCTGTAATGTTGGTATTACTTATGGCTGGAAATTAAAGAAAAAACAATGATGCAGTCTCTTCTTGTGATTGACGTTCATATTGTGTGTAATGAAAATCATCAGTTGGTTCATAATTCATTGATATAGAGAAATACACATGGTTTTTGTACACGTGGTGACATTCGTAACTGTGTAGTTGGCTACAAACAGGTTTAAGGATCAAATCAAGTTGAACAGCATTTATGCTGAGAAGAAAGAAAAGCTGAAAAGCTGGAAACCAAGTTTCATGGCATCATGAAGAAGTTCTGTTCTCTTCTACTTTTTTTTGACAAGGGTGTCGGCCACATGCTGTGTTTTATCACACAGTTAAACAAATGAGGCATTTATTCTTTTATCAAAAGAACTTGGCATGGAGAGGGTCTAACCAAGTTATTTTATTTTTTCATAAAGACCTGTCTTGACTGAATATTCAGAGCTAAATTGCACAATTTACCTTGTTACCTCAGAATATTTTAAACCTGGAACACTCCTTCCGTACAGTAAGTTGGGGAACAGCTTTCTTGTCATATAACATAGTAGCACTCCTTACCTGCAAGTGGAATTCCCACCAGGGGTGTCTGCAGTCATTCATGTATTATATGTCTTTTTATCCAAGGTATACTAAAAAAATAAATGCAGCTGTGTTACCATTGGACATCTGACATCAGGGAGTAGTGGTCTTGCATTTGTCAGTGATTATTTTTGTTGCTGTGGATACAAACTTGGTGTGTTTCTTGACCGGCCAGAGTGAGTGCTGCTTTTTTCACTTGTCTTATGGTCCCTTATTTTTGATCAAGTAGAATTTTGTAAATGTGGGGCCCCTTCCATACTGAGTTGTAATTCATTGTCGTCAGGTTAATGAGTGTGAACAGAATTCCACAGAGACCAGGGATTGTTATTTAATCAGATTCACAGAGAAAGATAAGAAGGGGGTTAACATTTGACTAAGTATATAGTTTTAATATATGTATTTTATTTGCTTCATACTTTAAAACCCCCCACCCCCCACCCCACCCCTAAATTCAGTATATGGTGAGGCTTTTTGGTGTAAAGAACTGTGTATAAAATGCTTGGCCAGCTTCCCAGGTTCTTATTCTAAAGCCCTTACTCTGTTACAGTCTGATGGTTGTCTGGGGTTACATTCATGAAGGTGTTAATGTGGGCACACACAGTAGTGATGATGTCTGTCCTTGCAGCCTGTGAGAACTCCAACACCAGCAGCTAGAATGGTGACGACAGCACCATTACAACCTCAGTCTCCAATTTCAACAGCAGCACCTACCCTTCCGTCTCCAGCACCACAACCAGTGAAAGTTACAACTCCGTCGCTCCCCACCCCTGCGCTTCATATAAGACCTCAGGTGCAACAGCAGCAGCAGCAACAACAGCAAACACCTCTGGCACAGACAACAAAAGCACCTTTCCCAGTCCACATCAGACCTTCGGCAACACCAGTCCATGTGAAAACAGCGGCTACCAAAGTGTCTACAGCGGCAAAACCACCTGCTCCTTCGCTTCTACCAAAGCCATCTGCAAAAGAGAAAGAGAAGAAGTCTTTCTCATCTGCAGGATACACGTATGTCACTTTCATGTTTTGTTTGAAAACATTTAATTGTAATTACCAGTAAAGTGATTTGATGACATGTTTTCTCTGTTTATGTGACGTTTAGAAAAGCATTTTGTTTTAATGTCAGCAAAAAAAGATGAAATTGCTTATATAAGTAACCTGTACAGTTTATTGTGAATATCCCTTCCACACAGACTGAAGCTTTCAGAATGCCTGTAGCTTCATCAGTTTCACTTGCAGTCCAACATATTTTTCTTGGGTTATGTTACTATAAATGCAAAATTGAAAACTTTCATCCAAATTAATAAACTATTAATTGCTTTCAGTACTATCATATAGAAGAAACACTGAACATCATAGTGGAGTGGTTAGCTCTCCTGCTTCATATTTGGGAGGTCCCAGGTTTAAATCTTTACCCTGGAGACCAGCTATCTTGACTGAGGTTTGTTGTGGTTTTCCTCAGTCTCCTCAGGCAAATGCTGGGATAGTACCTCAAATTAAGCCATGCCCGCTTCCTTTCACATTCTTCCTCTTGTCTGACAGTATATAGTCTAGATATGGAAAGCAATGTTAAATATACTATAAATGAATATAGAAGAAACATGACATTACAACCCAGCATAAGTGAGTATGAACAGAGCATCTTAACAGCTTCATGGTTGGTGTCATTGGAAATGGTTCTGTCTGTCTGTCAGAATTCTTACAGTTGAAGTACTAATGGTCCACAGCCTATGAAGGGTAAGATTCTTAGTACTGGTCCATTCACTTTAATTATTGTCAGATGATTAATATTTCCTACTTCTGTTAATAACCCAAACCCCATGAATTAAAAAAATCATGCTAGAATAAAGGGTAATGTGAATACAAAAAAACTTGAAAATAAAACTTGGAGGCACTCGATTGAAATTATGCAGGATAGAGCACCAACACCCACAATTGTATTCTGATCCACATTTAATTTTCTTTGTCATCTTTTGAATTTTGTTTCTGGATATCTGAGTTTTGTAATTTGTACCATCATTACATAACTCCATTATATTTAGGTGGTGTGTTCTGTTGCAGAGGAGATGATGATATCAATGATGTGGCTGCGATGGGTGGTGTCAATCTGGCTGAGGAGACCCAAAGAATATTGGGTTCCACAGAATTTGTAGGGACACAAATACGGTCTTGTAAAGATGAAATTTTCCTCCATGCTGTGCCTCTACAATATAAAATTAGGCAAATAGGTAAGTTACAGGAGCAGGTTGATATGTTGATCTTCTGCTTCAGCCCACAAACTTTAAGTTGAAAACAACAAGTGTTGTGATAAAATGTATGCTATTTCCTGCTTCCTGTTTTGGAGGCATTTGTCATCCATTGATGTTGCCATCAAGTTGGTTATCTTATGACAGAACCCTTCCCTCTCCTCCCATAAGCTTTCCTCTTATATCTATTTCCAGTCTTTTCTTACTGTGTTTGCTCTGTTTTATCATCTTTCAGTTGGACTCTTCTACCTTATTCAGATTGTGGTCCAAATTAGGTGGTTGTAGACATTTTAACCTGAATAAAGCACAAACTTGGTTCCTAGGACTGCCACAGTAGCTAGGATGGCCTGTCAGAAATCCTGAAAAGGAAGTTAAAATATTGTGGTGAATCTGTTATTGGTTATGCATATCTTAGTGCATGTGATTGTACAAAAACTTTGGAAGATACTGACTAAAATTTACTATTGTGCATCATTTTCAGTTTATGTAGCATTAAATAAGAGACAGGGTCCAGTGGAGGGCTTTGGTTAATTCGGTGATAACCTTCAGGTTCCATAAGCCATCTAGTTGGTTAGTTAAATAAGAGATGATCACAGTACTCCAAGTGACAGGCATCCCATTTGCACTTGATCATGGAATCAGAATTGCCCATACCCATGTTCTAGCACATATGTGCTATACCCTGAAAATAGCATGTTCTGCATTTGAGTTTCTTAGTCTCCTTATTCAGGTGTCTTTGCCTTGCAGTTGCTCAGCATGGGTTGGAAGAACCTTCATCAGAAGTGGCTGCACTGATATCCCACGCTACTCAAGAGAGGCTGAAAAACATTGTAGAAAAGTTGGCAGTTATTGCTGAACACAGAATAGACCTAATTAAGGTGAGAGGACTGTGTATGGTCCCATATTTTTGATGTTGGTCTTCTGGGTGGTAATGCAGTATGGACTTCCAAGTAGGTGCCAACATCTTGGAAGAACAAACTGCCAATATGGAGGCAGTTAACTCTTCTGAAACATTAGTATCTTCCAACAAGTTCACACAGCATTGCTACCTGAAAGACCAGCACCTACAGCTTTACTAGCATGCTGCCATCAGAACCTCTTATCGCCCCCATATTTTTAAGTAAAATTTCTATCTTTTCCTAACCTAAACTAATCTTGGTTGTTTTTTATATACTGAGCCTTAAATCCAGCTTTACACAGGTAATGTGTTCTGAGAAATGTTTGATAAACACATCATTTTATGCATGCACAATCCTGCAGAACACCTATTATAATTACTCTGTCTTTGGGATTTGCTGGTAGGGACAGAGGTAGTATGGTATGTGATCAAACTCGTTGATTCCAGATAAGTCTGTCATCATAGTACCATTCAGAAAGGTCAAATTGTGATAAATGTGCCCGAATTTTTATACTGTGCATACATTTCCTGACTTGTTTCAAACACAGAAGAAGGAGAATGTAGAATTCACTTTTTATTCCTGTGGGTGGTACTATCTACTGTGTAGTAATGTCATTGGCAGAGTGACACACGAGATGATAGTGTGTTAAGTTCGTTTCCTAATTTATAGTTACTTTCCTTTCTTAATATGCTGCCTTCCCCCTAAATTCCTTAATTTTTAAAAGTGGAAAAATTCTTTCTGTCATCTCAAATATACATGGAATTATATTCATACTAGTGAACCATTAGTCCTGAGTCTACTTTTCCAAAGTTTACATTGATATTAACAGGGTAAAATTTGCTGCTGTGCCACTGTTTTGACTGCTTTTCTACTGGGAAACAGAACTTGACTAGGAAGCAGGATGGTCCATAGAGTCATTGTGGACATGGTGGCAGAGAGAAAAGTTATTACAACTAGGAATCAAGTCCAGGTCATACAGCCCATAACTAAACTAAATGCACACCTCTACAAAGAGTAATTCACGAGCCTAGTAAATACTTAATGCTGTATTGTGGCTATGACTCAACATAACATGGTAACATGTTGTGTATTTGACGGTTGTTTGCAGTAGTTGGTCTGGTGACTCAAATTGATCAGTGAAATGTGGCCGGTTGCATCATTAAAAATGAACACCGTGAACCATATTGTGATATCGACGCCTACCGACTATTGACTGTGGTCTCCATGTCAACCTAGATTTATTGAGAATAAATCAGTTTACAGAGTCTACAAACAGGCAACTATCCTAATATAGTTTCTAAATCTCTGTCTCTACCGATATGTGACACACACTCTCTTCACTCACGCTCACTGTCCTTCGAGCGGGTCTGGTCCCCAAACTTGGTGCTCTCCACTCACGCACACAGCCCTTGGCCTGCAGCACCCCCACTGGACACGCTGGCTCCTCAGCCGCCCCAGTCCACGAACCTGGTGCTCTTCATGTCCATGTATGATTCTCTTGCAGCCCTCAGTGCCACACCAGACCGCTCGATGGCTCCTTGCTCTCACACACTCTGTTTCACCAAAGACCCACACAAGACCCTCACACTCTGTTTCACCATAGACTCTCGCTCTGTTGTCCCATTCTTTCTGCACCAGAGAGACTCCCCAACACTTGGGGAGGTGACCTTTTATATTCGCCGGCCCAGTAGCGGAATGTTCCAGGCGAAGAATTTAGAAGATTCGCTTACCTGAAGGTTCTGTTAAGGAGGGGAATACACCGTCTGGAAAATTCCACGGCGGCCACACCTACAGCCCGCATCCACTAGACACGGAGGGGAGTTAGGTGGGTTCTCCCCTCCAGTGCAAGCTGTATGCTCTTTTGGTGCCACATTACAATATTTTTCCAAATGTAAATATACTGTCCTGAAGGTTTAATTTATTAATTCTGTAAAATGTGATTGCAGTAACATTTTCAATAAACTGTATTAACAATATTGTATCTTGTATATTCATATACAGGTGGACCCAAGATATGAAGTGACACAGGATGTCAAAGGCCAGCTAAAATTTCTTGAAGAATTGGATCGTGTAGAAAGAAAACGGCATGAGGAACAAGAAAGAGAGTTGTTGCTCCGGGCAGCCAAAAGCAGATCAAAATCTGAAGATCCAGAGCAAGCAAAACTGAAGGCCAAAGCCAAAGAAGTGTGTATCAGTCTCAAATAATCTAGTTTCATAGTGGAGAATAATAGCATTTTGACCATGGACTCAAAATGTTTATGCTGTCATCTCTTGTATATATAACCTCCCCTTATGCCCAGAGCCCATCGTCTGATTGCAGTGAGCTTGTAAAGTTAATCACTTTGGATTTTCAAAACAGCTTGCAGTAACTTTAATAGTAGGTTTATATTTAGGTAATCTGTGTTTCACAGATATGTGAATTGGATTTTGGGAGATGGGAGGTGAATTAAATCAAATCAAATCAAATTAGAGAGCAATATGACAATACACAAATTATTTTATATATTGCATGCTTATAATCAGTCAGCATCTTGAAGTTTATATCTGAATTATGTAATCTGAAAGCTTCACTTTTGTTTTTGTGAAACAGACATATTTAACTTTATTCTGTTGATCTTCTGGGTGGTAACACCATGTAGACTTGTACATAACTGGAGACAGTATGTTTCTCCAAAACAGAATCTATCTACAGGTCTGCATGGTGTGCTATACAAAAGACCAACATTGACATCTTCACAGCTGTGAGAACCTCATATGTCATTGGTACTCTTATTTTATCAAGTGCTTGAAATTGCATTTCACAGATGCAACGGGCAGAAATGGAGGAGCTGCGTCAACGGGAAGCCAACTTAACAGCTTTGCAAGCCATCGGACCTAGAAAGAAGCCAAAGCTAGAAACTGGTGGAATGGCAGGGTGTTCAGGACAAGTATGCTGCACAATTCAGATTCTTGTAGTCTTGGTGTAGGGAGAGATTTTTTCATAATATGCCATGAAGGTTGCAGTGAAATAATGTGTAATGGGTTTTGTAATAAGGAAGGAAAGGTAACATTCTTGTAGATGACAGGTTGTATCGTAGCATCTAAATGAAACATAAATAACTTTTGTAATGTTAACAGTGATGACTGTTTTCATTTTTGCACTAATGTTTTTCCTTTGCAGTTATTATGTAAATGAAACAGCATAAAATAATTTATTTTCACTTTTGTGCACTGTGATGATGCAAGTCAAATTGTATTTTATGTCTTGGGTATTTCCTATCGTTATTTATTTAGGAAAGAGAGTTATGAATTATTTACTCTAATAATTAATGAAGTTACTCTGTATAATGAACCTTACAATTAAGAAAACTATTGGACCTGATATTGTTTGATTTATCGGTTCTGTTTTCTTGTATAACAAAGTATAGAATGTGAGTCTTCGAATTGTTGGGATTTAAGTTTTGAAATTTTTGATACAGGATATACATGAATTGGCTGATAAGCTCTTCATAAAGCACTTTCTTATTAAAACTGCTGAAATGTAAAATAAGAAGCCATCTCTACTTAATTTTTATGTTTACATGTAGGTATTTGTAATGTACCACCCAATAGAGAGCTTGACCTCTAATTTATGTACTTCCTGAATAGTTTATTAGCTTATATAAATGCAATTGTATTTTTCTCTCTTTTATACAAGCAGAAACTTGGTATAGACCAAGAGATATGTAAGCAGATACTAAGCTGTAATGTTTTAGGGGATACAAAGAAGGAAATCAGAAGGTTTAGAGATTAGAATGATGACTGACTAAATCTCAAACTAGAAACACAACAAAAAAGTTGATCAGTTTTATGATACATTTTTGTCTGCTACAGTTGAGTTTGCCGTGAGAGACTAAGGACAAATTAGGTAAATCAAGTTAAAGAAGATATACAAAAGAGAGTATTGAAATAATGGTGTGCTTTTAGAAAAATAGGAAGGATGAGGCTGTATTATAGTATGACCTACCTAGTGGATGCTGTGTGCTCCATTCACAGCTCCTTTCAGAGACTACAGTTGTTTTTGTAACAACAGGTTAAAGAATTTGTTGTGGAACTGTGGTCTAAGTATGTTATGATGTAATAATACCCATTCTTCATCCTTCATTTGTCATTATCCGTCATACAAAAGATATGGCTTTAACTACATGATTGAGCAATTTGGATGAAGGTTTCTGTGATTGTTACACTCATTCTGGGAAGTAAATTCATGAATGTAAGTGGTGAAATGTGGTTTTTGACCTTGAAGGAAGAACATATGTTACAAATGTTTTGAAACAAAACATTAAGAAAATATTTGGATGTGAAAGGGATGAAGTATGTGAACAGTTTCTGGCATTACATCACGAGGAACTGTTTTATAAGGTATTGTTAAGACATAACTGTGAGTCTGTGATAGGCTGGGCACATGGCTAGAACAGGGGAGACAAGCAGTCCTTGCAGAGTTCTTGTTGGGAAACCACTTGGGTTACCAAGAAAGGGGGGGGGGTTGGATTTTAGGGAAGCAAGGTTTGAGGTTGGGATGAAATTGATTCTGGGTGCTGTTAATGGTGGGATTTGGAGTTAGAAGTGTTGAAATTGCATTCTGCTTCCAAAGAATTAGGTTGTTTATAGTTGGTTGGGAGAGAGTGGCATTATCCCATACTGTGGCCAGTGAAAACAAACCTCTTGATTTGAAATTACATCTCATTTCTAGTATGGGTAATGGCAGTTTAATAATACAGTTTTGTTTTCCATTCTAGTCTGGTGCCAGTGGATCCAATGGTGCGAGTAATAACCTCAGTCGAACACAGGTAACAGTAGAAGAAGAAGAAAAATTATTATTAGTAGTAGTAGTAGAAGAAGCATCAGCAGCAGCATGTTTATTACCCATGCTGAGAGTTAAATATCATCTTTGGTGCATAAATCATTCTTGCCTGTGTACAGTTTCTCATTAAGTTTAAGTAGGAAGAGTCAGTCATCATATTTTATGTTTCTGTAACAGATTGATGGAAGGTGACTGTCATCTGGGATATTGTGCCATGTGGTTTGGTAGAAGTTTGCTGATGTTTCAGAGTTGCTTATTGCCTCCATCATGAGGGTGGTGGTGATACAGATATTGAGCACCTCTGGAACATCAGTAAGCTCCTACAACATTACATGGTGCAACATCCCAGATTACAGTTATTACCATACTTGGTGCCATGAGAATCTGAAATTTCATTGAGTGAGCATTGTGCACCGGCTAAATGCACAGTGAGATACATGTAGGTACTTTGTTAAGGTCTTACTGTTTTCCTTTTAAAGAGTTAAAATTATTTTAGTGCTGTTGGCACATATTTTTATATTGTTTTTGCAGGGAGGGATACTGTTTTCACTGTGAGATGTGACAGTGGAAAGGACTTAATGTGTTAATTAGAAATAACAGGTGAAATGCATGAAAGGTCTGAATTAAGAACAGAATAACTTTTATATTTATTTCAATCCTGTCAAAAACGTTTCCTTGTGGTCTGTTATAATTTATGATCTGTAATCATAATGACAAAACCCATTCTTACAGCTTATTTGTTAAGTTTTAGTTTTATTGTTTGTGTAATGTAGTTATATTTAATAGAGCCTTTCATGCGAGCAGTAACACATAAAAGTGAAATGAAATGGTATGTTCCATTTTAAGAAAATAAGTTGGTCAAATGTAATTTTAAACATTTGTTCCTACTTTTGATATTTATGTTCATGCAGCTTCCAATCCGGCCACGTCTCAAGAGAGTCAATCTTCGAGATCTACTCTTCCTCTTGGAACAGGAAAAGGAAACATGTCGGACACCTTTACTGTACAGAGCGTTCCTCAAGTGATGATGGTTGTGCTTGGTTTTCATAGCCTTCTTATGCCAGAAGGTAAGGTCAGGTGATGTCAATAAACTCTCTTCCCTCCCTTCTCATGCATGGACAGTGTGGGTTCAGTCTTTATACGAATGGCTTGATGGCTCTACCAAATCACTTGACAGAGAAGCAGAATATAATATATCATGTGAATCCATTGAGAATCAAGCAATATAACCTGCTGCTCCCAGGCAAATCATGTCATGTTTGCCCATTGTGAATGAAGAATCTTTTTATCAGGAAATCATATTTTATGTAAATATCTGAAACACCAAACTGTTCATATCTGTGGTTCCTTTCCCTTCCGTGGTTTAATGCGCAATGTACAGTGTGGGAATTCATAACAACTTGCTGGCATGAAAGGCTTGTTCAGATGGATGCCTGTACA